TGGGCCAACGTTTGACGTTGGGGTCTTGTAGTGCTGTCAGCATAGTCTGGGCGAGGTCAGAGTTGTTATATGCCTGGTCAATAATGTCGTCAATGGGTCTCTCCAAATCCGGAGTAAGGGTGGTCGCGGGCGCCGCTGCCATGGGAGTCGTGTCGTCAATGTCGCTGAGTAAGTCTGCGAGAGCGGACGGGTCGAACCTGTCCAGGGGTAGCAGGGTCTTCCTTCGCTGTTTCAGGCGATCGTCGTCAACGTCAGATTTGGACGGCACATCCTGAGATCGGCGACTAAGAGCGTCCGGTCGAACGGCCTTGGACCCTGGGCGGTAGATGATGCGGAAGTTGAACTGAGAGAGGAACTCGGACCAGCGAACCTGACGCTGATTCAGTACCTTGGTTGTTGTGAAGTACTCGAGGTTCTTATGGTCTGTCATGATCTCGAACTCTGACGCATTCCCTTGGAGCTCCGGTCGCCATTCTTCTAGGGCTTTGATGATAGCGAGTAGTTCCTTATCATAGATCTCGTAATTGCATTCGGCTGCGGAGTGCTTAGAAGAGAAGTACGCGACAGGTCGTAGGCTGCCATCGTCGTCATACTGAGACAGTACTCCACCAGAGGCCCAATCGGAAGCATCTGTTTCCAGGACAGTTTTCCGGTTGTAGTCAAAAAAGGCAAGGGCGGGACCTGTGGTGAAAGCGGTCTTCAGTTGCATGAAGGCGTGCTGCTGCCGTTCGGCCCAGCACCAGGCTGACTCTTTCCGCAGGAGGTCGTTCAGGGGCCGACAGATTGAGGAGAAATCCCGGATGAAGCGGCGGTAGAAGTTTGCGAATCCGAGGAAACGTTGGAGTTCGCGCACGTTGGCGGGCTTCTCCCACCCAGTAACCGTCGCCACTTTGTCTGGGTCCATCTGGATTCCATCACTAGCTATAATGAGTCCCAGGTACTTGGTTTTTGTTGTTTCAAACTCGCATTTGTTGATATCGATTTGTAAGCCCGCTTCTATCAGGCGGTCTATAACCTCGCGGACGTGTTGGCGGTGTTCCTTGCGCGTTTGTGAATAGACTAAGACATCGTCGAGATAGGCCGTACAGATCTTATCGAGCTGGTCGTACAGAGTATGGTTGATATAGTGTTGGAACGAAGCGGGGGCGTTGCAGAGACCGAAGGGCATGACTAATGACTCGAAAAGGCCAAAGCGTGTGATGAATGCGGTTTTCCACTCGTGCCCCTCGGCAATGCGTAGCTTATTGAAGGCAGCGATAACATCCAGCTTTGTATAGTACTTGGCGTGGCAGAGAGCGTCTAAGGTTTCGCGGATCAGTGGCAGCGGGTACCTGTTCTTGATTGTGACCGAGTTGAGTCCGCGGTAGTCCTGACAGATACGTACGCCACCACCAGGTTTCGCGGCCAGGAGAAGGGGTGCAGCACATCTTGCGCGCGACTCGCGGATGAATCCCTTGGTCAGGTTATCATCAAGCCACTTCCGGACAACAAGGAGCTCTCTGGGGGATAACGGGCGGTTCTTCTGATATGGAGGCTCCTTGCCAGGGATAAGTTCGATTGTATGGTCCCAGCTGCGTCGTGGGGGTAATTCATTCGCTAGATGGGGCAGGAACCCGGTCATTTTATCTTGCAGCCACTCAGGAAGTTTTGCTTTAATGTCTTCGTGGGAGAGATCCGGTTTCCCTTTCAAGAACTTATCGACGTCGGCGTCCGTCACGCGTCGCAGGTGTTCCTGACTGTAGCAGTCATCAAGGAATTCCTGGAACGCACTAGGGAATAGTTGGGAGACGGCTGCGTGGTCGCCGCGTTTTTCGAGGATGTCTTGGAACACGCTCTCCGGCAAGTCGGGGAGTTTTATCAAGGGGGTTTCCGTCTGGATAGCGTCGAGTTCAGGCCATGTAATCTTCATACACTGGGTCGCGCCGCCTTTGCAGAACTGGAGGAAGTTGGCGGCGGCTAACATCTTGATATCAGACAGATCAGGCCGGTCATATGGGTCAGGCGGGCGCGCCCCCTTCGGCGTGGGTGGAATTGGCACGCTGAGCTGCGGCATTGGCGGGGCATGATGTTCCTGGTGTACTGGACGCCGACTGCCTGCCTTCAGGGTGACCGGTGCTGGCTTTAACTGTGGCCTGTTGGGGATCATCCGGGCCCGGGTCTCAGGCTCCGGCGGAAAATGGCTTGGTCGAAAAGTGCGGAAGTGGTCTTGGCCGGGAGTGAGAGTCTGAGGGATATCTAGTTCCACTCTTCCCTCGGGGTGAGGCTCCTCGTCGTTGCTGTCTTCGACAGAGGGCAGCCGGTAGGAAGAAGCGGTTCGTATGGAATCACCACTCCCGCAACCTTCATCTTCAGTGTCCCCGACGGAGGCCTGATCCCGCTGGCGGGAGGGCTGGAATTCGGTAGGGGGCGCAATGTCGTGTGGCCTGGGACTGGGACTGGGTACCGCCGGTGCGAAACATGGTGAAGAGCAGCAGCGAGTAAGGCAATACTGTGACTGGAAAAGTAGGGTCATTCTCGCCCAGTCGATTGTGGGGTTGTGACGTTGAAGCCAGGGGAGTCCAAAAATAAGCGGAGTGTCTGGGGATAGCGTGGTAACAAAAAAGACGCAAGCTTCGATGTGATTCCCCATACTCACGGGGAGGATGACATAGTGGGTAATATTGTCAGCGACTTTCCCATCGGCGAGGATCAGGGTGCGTGGCTTTGGTAGCTTCTCGGTTTGGATCTTATTAGTGCGTATAAAGCCGCGGTCGGCGAATGCCCGCGCGGAGCATCCACTATCGACTAAGCTATTCACTTGTACGGGTTGTTGGTGCGCAGGGAACAGTGTGGCTTGAATGAGTAGCGACTTGCTATTTATGGACCTGAGAATGAGAGGTTCATCGCCACAAATAGCTTTGCGGATCCACAATGGCAATAAGCTTGTAGGTGTTCCTGAAGACCTCCGGGCGCGACGGTGCCCGGAGGTTAGACGTTTCCCTGGGATCTATCTGTGTCTGGGGTTGATCTGGCGTCGGTTAAGCTGCTGGTGTCAGACTCGATAAAGCCTTGGTCCATGGAGTGAAGGCGGTTGAAGGTAGGACTAAGGTAGGGGGGCTGCGCGTAGTATTGCTGGGCCGGTGGGAAGCCTTGGAGTTGTCGGTACTGGGGCTGGGGTTGGTGTGTTGCATTCGGGACCTGGGACGAGGGACGAGGGGAGTAGTAGCTGCCACGGCCGTGGCCACGAGCACGAGCGGCGTCACTGCGTGGCGTGTTATTCCGAACGCTGTACTTGGCATCGTTGTTCATTTTCTCCTGGCAGTCGCGGATCCTGTGGGTTCCGCCACAGTAGTAACAGAGGCCCCGTTCCTGGCGCTCGCGTCGGCGAGCTTCGGAGGTCGAGGACGTACTAAGTTGCATGGGCTCGCCAGCGTCAGCAGTGGGCGCGGCTGGAGCTGCCGGGATGTTTGGGCGGGGGTTCTCAGGGGCGGTGCGGTGGCCGGGCTCACGTCGGCTACGCATCTTCCTGATGTGTTTGCTCTGCTCAAGGTCGTTGTAGACGTCCTGGCACAGCTTTTTCCATCCAGGCCAGTCGTCATTCCCAGGTTTGCCGCTGCGGTGCATGACTTCGTCGATGACCTCATTGGATACTTTGAGTTGGAGGGCTTCAACCTTCTGCTTATCAGTCTTGCCAGCGAGGGTTGCAAGCTTATTGAACTCGGCGATAAAATTCTCAAAGGGCTTGTTCGTCATGAAATAGTTGTCGAAGTTGCGGCTGGCAGTGCGATCGAGGTCGATGGTTTCGTATTGGCCGTTAAGGAACTCAATGAGGTCGTCGGCAGTCTTCCATTCCCATAGTTCTGTATCGTCGGGGTTCATTGTAATCGCATCTAGGCTCTGGCGGACAAGCGTGTAGGCGCCGCCATCAAGCATACTGCCAATGTATTGCAAACGGCGGAACTCAGTGTTGTAGATTGTCTTATCCACGGCTAAGTTGCGCATAGCCTTGGAGCGCCAGCCGACATACTCTTCTTGTCGCTTCTCGATATCTTTCTCGGTGGCATTAAACGTGGGGTGGTCTCGGGTCTGGCGACGGAGAAGCTGGCCATCGGTATGCTTAGGAGCGCCGACTCGATCGATCACCTTGTTGAGTGTGGCAACCTCCTTCTTCAGGTCGCGATTCTCGTCACGGAGGGTCTGAACTTCCTCATGGAAAATGCTGGCTTTGGCGTGGAGGGATGACTGGATGTGCTCGCAGTACTCCTGTACCTGTCTGGCGTAGTATGCATCTTTGTCGGCTTCAAAGACCGGGGACAGATCGTGGGTAGTGTCGGCGCAGGTAACAATGGTGTAGACATGGGGGAATGCCGTAATGCCTTCTAAAAGACTGGCCTTCCAGGCGGGAGTATCGGTTTCCTGGGCCATTGTAGGTGTCTTCGTGGGTATCTTCAATCGCGACGTGTCAATCGCGCTGTGGGTGTTTTCGTGGATGGTCTCAATCGCGACG